GCCAATAAACATTTGTACTCGGGGCTGCATAAATATGCTGAGGGCAGTGCTCTTCAACCGGGTATACTGTATACCTAAGTGTATACCAGACCATTCGTAAGGTATACGACTGATAAAAGGTATACGAAGGGTGTACAGCCTAAATCAGGAATTGTAAGCTCTAATATAATAAATTATAAAATATTCAATTAGAGACAACAATGCAAACGCGATGCACATGAAACGTCATTCACGCAATGAACCGAATTGAGCACATTGTTACATCACAAATTATGTAGATAATGCAGGCACGTGTCTGGGTTTTGATAATTTTGGCTGCCGTGCACGTCACTTGATCTGCAGAAAGGAAATGAATAACACGGAAGTCGTATATTTTGTGAATACGATTAGGAAAAGTTCAAAACCAACGAGACTTTTCTCGAAACTGTGAAAAAACAGCCGCCATATTCAAAGAACTACTTCTACATTCAGAAGTACGGTGGCTGTCCCGGGAAAAAGTTCTTTCCCGTGTGTTTGAACTTCGCGAGCAATTAGGGGCGTATTACACTGAAACGAAAGAGGAGACCAAAAAGCCACCAAGTTTCGTAATATATATTGAGTTGCAAAACTAGCGTACATGGCGTCGATTTTTGATTGTTTCAATCAAGTGAACGTCAGTCTTCAAGGGAAAGGAGGTGATATATTTCGATCAACTAGCGAAATCAATGCTGTGAAGATGAAAATTAACTCTGGTAAAACAATGCTTCTTCAGGAAACTTCATTGACTTTTCTCTTTTAAATCAATATTTGAAAGAGTCTGGATGGGAATTTGAGGACGTTTCAGTGATAAATACCATGTGTACCCTAATTGTTGGTCATTTGAACTTACTGGGTGATAAATTGGCTTTGTATTTTCTTGAAGATCATAGCAGACGTCTGAAAGAAAACTCGTGGACAATGCGGCCATTTACTAGTGAATCAACAGAAGACGAAGAATTGTTGGAACTCCGGGAGGATTTAAATCAAAAAATTTCATTCCGCGAAATGGATTACTCGGGAGTTTTGGGTTTCTCTTTTTGAATTTCCCCGAGTACAAAAATCTGGCAGAAAAAGACGTTGCTCTCCTGGTACAGATGCCTACGACTTATTTGTGTGAAGAAGGGGTTTCCAGTCTTGTTGAAATCAAGTCGAAAAAGCGAAACTTGATAATGATTCAATAATGCGGGGAGCAATTTAAAAGGAACTAAAATCCTGTTATGGACGAATTGCCGAAACTATACAAGAACAAAGAAGCCACTGAAACTAAATTAACGTCGTCTTTACATTTTTTACACATTTAGGTGTTAAATTAATTGCATCTGTGAGTAAAAACTAAAAGAAGCATTTATAATGACTCGCCCCGCCACCTAGATTTTAGTTTTTTCAATATGTGGCTAAAATTTAATGTTCATTTTAGTTTGAAATAAACATTGGTATTTGTAAGGTATACGGAGTTCTCGAAAATATGTAAAAGGTATACCACGGTAAAAGAGGTTGAAGAACACTGGCTGAGGGTATATTGGACAAAGTGTCGACACCCATCAACGAAGCATTGGAGCAAGCTGCTGCTGACGAAATTGGTTCAATGGGGAAAAATATGGCCATTGGCGCTTACTTCCTATTTAGGGAAGAAATCCCGCCTACTACAAATTGGAGGCCACTCATGGGTACTTTGTCTTTTATCAGCCCTCAACTTAATCGGTGGTTTAAAACGAGAAATTGCAATGCACATTATCTATCTGTCAGAAACTCTACAGACTGGTTAGAGTCCTGTGATGCTGTGATAAAATCTGACGTGGCGGAGAAAATCAAACTATCTATATCAAAGTTCAATAAGTTCTCCTATATGTCCGACGAGTGCACAGATGTGAATGGAAAGCAAATACTCAGTCACTGTATCCGTTATCTCGATGATTGTGGGCGGCCTACTGATGATTTTTAGATACAGAATACTTCGGCAATATTTATAACGGAATGTATTTTGAAAGAGCTCGATTTGTAGAATCTAGACACCAAAAAGATGGTATCTTGTTCCTGGAGCAGCAAATTTTGCTTGAAAGCGAGGAGGTGTTCAAGCCCTTCTCAGACAAAAAATAAATCCGATCTTAAGCTTCATTCGTTGTTGTGGACATCTTCTTCAATTGGCTTTGGTCAGAGCATCTGTGCTGTCAAAAGACATTTAAAAGCAATAAGTCTCATGTCTTCTCTGCATTCTTTTTTCGACAGAAGTCCGAAACGTTTGAGTACATTGGAAAATACATTGGAAATATCGTTAGACCAAAAAAAAAAATTAGTACAACCCTCCAGGACTAGGTGGTTGTCGCACGAAAAGTCATTATCTGTTGTTCTGGGGTCTCTTGAAGCAATACTCATAGCTTTAGAAAGCATCTACCAAGATGGAGGTGATTTTTGTAGCGATGCCGGGGGACTACATCTCATTTTGCGATGTGAAAAAACTATTGCAGTTCTTTCCTTAGTTAACGTGATGTTAAGACCACTATCATCCTTAAATAACGCTATTCAGGCATCTAGGACAACCGCTGTTGAATTGTGTCCAGCTGTTGAAGCTACCGTGGACAGTTTGAAAGATATACCTGTCTCTGAAATTCTGAACAATACTCGTGTTTTGGTGGAAAGCCTACAAAGAAAGGAAATTTTCATAGAACGTCTGATCGAAGCAGAACAGCTTAAATTTGCAAAACATCTTTCAGAGTATGTTGACCTGGTGCTCACAAATGTATCTGAGCGACTCCTGAAGCCGACAAAACCTCTCCGCGAGTTATACAGAAGCTTAGATGAAAAAGAAAATACAGTAGATTGGAAATCTGCTTTAACTCCAATCGGACTGCCATCGGATGGACCGTTATTGGACAATATTGACACCGAGTGGAAAATAATGAGGCGTATGCAAAATGAGGACCTAAAATCTACCAACTTTTTATCGTCGTTGGTTGTACGCCACGATCTCGCAGCATTATTTCCTGATTTGCGTCTTGTTGCCATCAGTTTGCTACTTTTACCAACAACAACTGCAAATGTTGAGAAGTCTTTCTCCACATTAAATAGAATACTATGCTCGGAAAGAACTCGTCTGCGACCCGACCACGTCAACGAACTAATGAGCATATCCATCGAAGGGCCCGCCCTACCGGATCCAAGAGAATCGCCAGAAGAAGAAATGAACGCATTCATCTGTTTTATTGATAAGATCGTCGTTCATTACAGCAAAAAAAACCGACGTTCTTGATTCATCTTTTCAAATTACCGATATTGATTATGGCGCTATCATTTTTTTAGTCGAGCGTCACGAAATTTTGAATTGGTTTTCTGTTTCAGTTGTTTGAATTTTTTTCAGTATTTCTACTCATCCAATATTTTTCTTAATATTCTTACATCCCAGACGTGCAGAGTAACTCAATGTGTATGTAAATAAGCGAGATTGGTTTTATTGGACAAGTGTACCTATGAATAGTTTTTGTTATGAAAAAAAATTTCACCCCCTATATCGCTCATCTGTTCCGTTTGCCGACCCCTGACTTAAACTGTACAGTACTATGGTATAAATTCACGATGTATCCAAAGGCACAGGTTGTCGAACACAGAACAAATCGAACGGAACAAAATTGTTGCTTAGTCTTTAGCACTAGTGACTAAACCATAGCACGGAATCAAGGTAGTGCGACTGAACTCCCGATTGAAAAATGCTGGCAATTCAGGTCATATGTCACATCACAATTATCTGAATGCGACCCAATCCGGGTGGCTAAAATCTGTTTGCATGTGACATATTACTGATACGGTAATAAGCAATTTCGTGGACGCGTAATAAATGAAAACTCGTTGATTTGTAGCAGGAATTCACTGTATTCGAAAATCCCTGACATGTAGGCATTTTTTGACATTTCTCCCTGACGCAAATTTGAAAACCACTGAAATCCCGGACATGGCGTATGGCAGGGGTCTCCAACTCAAAATATGTCTCGGGCTCCTTTTTGAAATATATTGACGAAGCGGGCCGCAAACCAAATTCGGTACAAAAGTGATACACAGAAAATCTGGATATGTTTGTTGAATCTTACACCAAACGAGACATGAAACATATTCATTTACTTGTGCTGGATATTTGGCACCGTTTTGTAGAGGTGAGAGATTCGATGTTTGACCTAATTTTGCGTTGGTTTGCTAGTCTTAGGACAGCATACACTCTCTTGACCGTCACTCGTGTGCGAATGGCTATTTTGTTAACTTATACGTGTTGAAAAAATGCTGCTATCACTTAATAGGCCTTCAACACTCTTTATTAAAGCTTTCTCCAACGAAAGGACGCGACGATTTCACAATCATCTCACTTGTGGTAAATCCTGCTTTCACCGAAGCTTCACTAGTTTTGTTTATGCCTGAGAAAAAATGTCTCTTGTTTCATCAGTAAAATTTTAAAATCGCGATACCTTTACGTGACGAATTGTTACAGTATCGACATGGTATTTTCCTCTGTGTAATGAGTCGTAATATCGCCGGATGTTGTATTTCTTTTAAACAGCGATAACTGCACAACACATGAGACACTAAACCTTTACGTGACGAATTGTTACAGTATCGACATGGTATTTTCCTCTGTGTAATGAGTCGTAATATCGCCGGATGTTGTATTTCTTTTAAACAGCGATAACTGCACAACACATGAGACACTAAACCTTTTTATTTATATTATAATTTCACACAAAATACAGATTATCCCAATTCTCCTGAAATATTCTGTGCTCTTCCGAACATTTACTTGCGGGCCGCATGCGAACCGCGTGTTGAAGATCCCTGGCGTAGGATAAATGCCTCCTAGTTCTTATAAACTCGCCCATGACAAAATAAATCAGCAAAGTTTGCTATTATTCAAACATACAGATTTCAGTGTTAAATTGAGGGCAATCAGCGGTTCAGAATACTACTTTGAACAGTTGCCAAGAGACTGAGTTTCAGTCAACGAATAGGTTTAGCGTGTAAATCAATCCGGGAAAAGCAAAATACGGAACGGAACAAAATTGATGCTTGATCTTTAGCACCAGTGACTAAACCATAGCACGGAATAAAGGTAGTGGAAGTACCGATTACAAAATGCTGGCAATTCAGGTCATATGTCACATCCGGAAAAAGCAAAATACACGAATCTGCCATTAGGAATATATATTTTATTAGACAGAAAATATTCGAATATTTCTTCAGCCGATTATCACTACAGAATATTCATGTTCGTTACAACGGAACATTCGATTTAGCCGTCTTATCGGCTACCCTTTTCCCCCGAAAAAAAAATGAAATAAAAATTCTATTTTATAGAATATATAAATTAAATTGCATAACTTGATTGTATTAAATGATTGGCTCATTTCCCAAATTTTTTCACCATAAATATGAAAAATTAGAAGAATTAAGTACTATTTCCACCTTAGGGTTTTGCAAGGAAAGGGAATCAACTTAGGTACGGTCTTGATATAATCCCGATATGCTGACAGATTATCGCATGTATTCAATTCACTTTGTTCCAACGTAGGGATTTCATCAACTCTTGTTTGAAGGTAACAAGTGAACGAAAGAATATTTATACTCCACCATTCCCAATCTTGAAGAAAAAAAAATCATCCTTATGTATATTATATTAAATAGTATTTTTATGTACTTATGTCATAGGAGGGGGTTTAAAACAAGATATAGCATGATGTGTAGATACTGGTCCAATTTTCAAGATAATGCAAAGCTAACCAGTGAATAGGCTATGCATAGAATATAACATAATAAACTCACTTTTAAATGAAGAAAAAGCCGTCACAGTCAATCCAGAACAAAGTAATGTTTCACCAAACAAATTAGGATGCCGGCATATCGACCAAAGTCCATGGGAGATAAATTTACCCTGGAACATAAAATATAAACATAAATCTTCAAATTCCAAAAACGTTTTTTTTTAGTTTCAGATGGATGACCTAGTATAGACATAAGGCATTAAACGAAGTAGCATCAGCTCATTTTAAACATAACTTAATAACTACATGAATCTTTAAGTCAAGATTATCAATGAAGAATGACGGCCTAAGTGGTTAGCTGGAGCAGTGGTTCCTAAACCCACATGAACATGTGGCGCTAAACCATCAAGGAAAATACTAACGGCCCACTTACACGAAAAAAATTGCTGCCTATAAGTAAAACTCAATTTGTGAACACCAAGTAACAGAAAGTAAACGGCATGAAGATGGGAAACTGATTTATTGATGATTCACATACACAGCATTCAAAATACGAATCTGCAATTTCCGGGGCGCAATCAGCGAATTGCCTTGGCGGATCACTTTTTTTAAAATAACTTCAAAATACTACCACAATCTATGGACCTAAAACGTATGATATACTACCCGATTGTAATTAATTTTGATTCGTACTCTCGTACTTCAAAAATAAAAAGGGCATACTACTATAAAATATCACGGAAATCGGCGGATATCAATTTTTTGGTGGCCAGCTCGTAGGTGACAGTTATTCCGTTGTTTATTGTATGCATATTTCTTCATACACTAAGATAAGCTTCCGTTACTTTTCCGTTATTTTATTTTCGAATGTATTCAAAATTTCCTATTTGAAAATAATAAGTTCGATGTATTCGAAATAGTGAATTATTGGTATTGGCCATCCCTGGGTCTACGGTACTTCTGAGGTCACTCTAAAAATAGTAGGTCCTTGAATATTAGTGATTGCTTGCACAGACCCTTGTTCAGAGGGAATCAATCAGAGTGAAATCTTGAAAAGCTTGAGCCTTGTATGGAGCAGATGTGTGAGTACAAAAAACTTACAGAATTTTCAGGATTCTTTCGAAATGTAAACTTCTGATAATCAGCGATTACTTCAGTTAAAAATCCAACCCTGAACATTCCCCAACCTAGTTTGTCTAGAGTTGTTGGTACAAGACTGTCTTCAATTGCATTGTTTAGTAGAAAAGGTAACATAGTCAGGAATACCCATACACCTGCAATAACAGAATTTTATAAATATTAGAATTTCATGAAGAACCTAGTAATAGATGCAAACTACTGATGAAATTTATGGAAAGATAGGCCTATGATTTTGCCTGTGTGAGGGAATTGCAGTGAAATTTTAATTTTTAACAATTAATAGTTTTACAAATCATGGATAGATATCATTCACGAAACTCATAACGATTTGTCTAAGAAAATTCCAATGTCCCCTGATTTTTTTAATAATCAATATATCACATAAATTCATCTCATATTTGGTGTGATATGCTTTATAATGATATAGTTATAACAACAAACTGAAAAAAGTTTTGATATAAAATATTTGGAAGCGACCACATCTTTCAATAAACTTCAAATTTTAACTCATTTACCTTGAAGCATCCAATACTGTAAAAATACGGATGGATTCCCTTGAACTTCATCAAACCTTCTATTGACACCATAATTCGAAAACCGATAAAAAATAAATAATCCAAGCCTGAAAATTTTCATCAAACGTTAATAAAATATTTACATTTTTGTATCTGTATATCATGATGACTGAGATATTGAATATCACCACAAACAATTTAGGATTTTTACAAAAATATTATAAAACAATTTTCAGAAGGATTTGGCTAGCTCTTACTTCCATGCTAATTAATTCCAATACCACTCTACTTAAAATAGATAGATATTTAAGTCTATGCTTTGCAACATTTCCATACGCAAGATAATAGGCCTACAACTATTTTAGGTGAAATAAAATAAAAGTCTTTCTTGGTCAATCAACTAGAAAAAATCCCATATCTCCAATACTAATATGAAAAAATTACCGAACAAAATAAAATTTAAAACACGAGACATAAAAGTACAGTGTGAACAATCCCCAGTGGCATAGAATAAAATTGAAAAAACAAGATCCCTCTACAAGATTTATTCTTACCCAATTGCCCATGCAGATACAGGGTTTGCTTGAAATTTTTGTCTGAATGTATTCTGACTGAAATAAAGTCCCAATCTTCCAAGACATAGGAAGGTACTTGAACCTAGAAAAACCATCAATTTTTTTTTACTGATTCAAAATCAGTACCTAACATTTGTCCATGAGAAAACTATATTATAGCATCAAAAGAAAATAAATAAAGTGAGCTGTTATGCATTGGTAGAATCAGAGACTAATCCCCAAGAATTGATTACAGACTGTTTCCGCTATTATAGCTATAAGACTGATAAGAGTGAAGATTGGATATTCTCAAAATCAACACATCAGTGACAGAATATGGGCAGTGGTGTTGGGGGAAATGTACAACAGACACCGACTGTGGAATAAAATAATGTTAGATATGTCTCAAGAACTCTAAATTACATAAGCAATAAAAAATTATTCCAAGACTTCAATACAGCCATTAGTACAGCAGTACCGTAATCTGGTAACGAAATTTTATAGCGGTACCATATAACAAAAACTTTGATGTTTAGCATTTTTGACGTAGTCTACTGTTAGGAACACCCTATAGATTGATAGAGTTTCAAATAGTATAAACTTACCCACTAAATCGTAAAACCTTTCAGTCTTGAAATAAGAACTTGGAAGAAATGCAAGGAGTTGGATTCCAATATCTAATGCAGCTAATTTCGCCACAGAATTGCCCATATTTCAGTATTTGCCTATACTGCTATATAGATACCGGTACCGTACGGCACCCTAGAACTGTAGAGCAGAAGGGTTAAAAATTCTGTTATTAGTTTATTTTTAAAGTACCGTACCGGTGCTGCACGGTACCGATATTTCCAGTTTTGGATTTCATGTAGTTTTATACCTAACATACTTCTAGTGAACGTAGCAATACAATTTTTTCACATGTCAATCCTAACCCCCACCTGACTACACCATCCAAAAATTACGTCACTACGGCATCACAATCACGTCATAGAGCTTACCAGATATAAGTACGATCGCCCTAAATGGCTTTGGCGCCGACGATAAAGAAGTAACTGACGTCGGCAATCTCTCGTCCATCGGGATCGTTGCGACGAAAAAACGAGAGAATTAGATGTCCGATTTCGGGTGCTCGTCTTGGATGACAGTGTGTTTAGTTTGAAGGACTCTTCTAGATACCGTAGATAGATGAACGGAATGATGTTATTCAGTCCGAAAACTCGCACTAGACACGCAAATATCTCAATCAGAATTAATGGAATCTCGCTCGAAATTGTCAATTCTACAAATATCTAGGGCTCATTATTGACAACAAATTAAAGTGGAACACCCACACTGTTGAAATACATAGGAAACTTTCAAGATCAGTAGGTATTCTAGGAAAGCTCAAGCATTATATACATGACGCAACTCTTCGAACCGTATACTTTGCCCTTTTCCAACCATATATACAATATGCTGTAGCTGCTTGGGGGGCTGCCTCCCAAGCAAATTTGCATAAATTAAAAGTTCTTCAAAATAGAGCTGTTAGAACTCTCGCTAGAGCTCCTTTTCGTTCCAACTTAAACATTCTATACCATAAGACCAGGGTGCTAAAATTCTGAAATTGTCCGACATCTACAAATTAGAGGTCTCCTAGATTATGCACCAATACCACAACAATAATTTACCCGCAGCTTTTGCCAATAGCACAATACCCGATCCTCGACTACGTCTAATCTTTTTGTACTACGTTTTTCCCTAGGCATAACACAAAATTCCCTAAAATAAAAAAGGTGTACTAATTTGGAGAAGTATTCCCCTCAGTCTACGTGACTCCACACACCACTGATGACATCTTTGAATTAAAATTCAAAAAACTCATGCTCTCTTCTGACCTGTCACCTGCCAGCACCTAGAGTTGATGTGCTGTCAGCTTTCCTCCTTGCCATTGCCAGGATTGCTTGATCTTGTGATTTGTTCCACAGCTTCCCTCCCAAATTGATTGACTTTTAATATTCAAACTTTTAATATTCAATTTTCTGCACTGTGGAAGAAACAATCATGCTAGTATTCACCAGAATTTTGTTTACCTTTGTTCAGTTGATTTCTTTTACTGTACTAGCCTACCGGGTATTGCTTCTTGTATCATGTATGAATTTGCCTCCAGCACTGGCAGCACCCAGTCATCATGCCACTGTAGAATTCCATGAGTACCGTATAGATTAAAAAAAAACTTGCGGAACCTGATTCCAATAATATTGTTTGTTATTAATGTTCTCCGAATGATGTACTGCCCCCAAAACAATGGCCCTTACTGCAGCTGACAAGCGAGGTTTCTGAGCGGAGACCGACGACTTATCAATCGAAAGTTAGGGGATCCCCCCAAAACAGAAACAGCGGTATCGAGGCATTCGGTATATGGGCTTTGTTCGATATTACTTCATAGCGACACCGTGTGTCCCATCAATAACTCGGTAATTATATGACATAATTTATCCAAAATCAATAGGCCTATGGTCCGAGATATGATGAATGCACATGCAAAATTTAATAATAACACAAGAGAGCGACGTAAAAATATATGGACACGTGGGCATTTCGCCAATTTCCGAGAACAATACCACAGTCCAACCACTTGAAAAATTCCATGATAGATTTTGCCATCATATTCTCAACCCATTTCAGTGGATTCCAAAAAATTTGTTGAAAAAAATACCCTAGTTCTAGCGGCAATAACAACCTTTAACCAAAAAAAGCAGATGGTCTAATAGTTAAAGACAAAGGCGATTTTTTTTAATACAAATATACAGCAACGGGTGGAATACTAAAAAAAAAAAATTAAAAAAAAAACTATCTATAGATAGGTTCATGTCGTTTCAATGTTCATTATGAATTTATAGCAATACATGAAAGCATAGATTTAATTATTTTACATGATTTTTGGAGATAGTTATCATATCTACAAACATTATAAAAGAAGGTTGATAAGGTAAGGTAATGAAATAGAAAAATAAGCAAACATTTTGAATTCTGGATCGTCTGACCAACTCGTAATATTTTAATCACCAACGCACCATTGAAAATTCTGCTATTGAAATTTCTGTGGGGCCCCCATTTGCTTGGTGTCCCAAGCACGTGCTTATACAGTTTAATGGTTAATCCAGCGCTGGGAAGGCGTATGCGGGCGGTCTGTAAATATAATACATTTTCACGGATTAGTTGCGTTTCCAACTCATTATTGATTGCATTGTACAAATGGCAATTTCTGGGTGACCCATTGCCACTTTTTCTACATTATTATGCGCCTGTGCAAATAATAATGTATTACAATAGGATATTGTATTTATTCTGAAATTTTATATTTGAGTGTGGAATGTTATATATATGTTTAAATGCCTGTTTCTGTTTTAGTTTCATTCTCTGTCTCACAATCCTTTTTTTTACAACTCACTGCAATAACATTTTTGAGCACGGTCTAATAGTCAAGATACATGGCCGACATCTCTCAAATATTCCTCACAGCATGACCATTAAACCACGTCCAGACGTCTGGCAAATTGTGGCTTCTGAAATATTCATTTTAAATAAATTTGTGATTTCATTTTCAAACTAGAATTGAATAGGATTTATATATTTATCAAGGAAGAGATGAAACCTGATAAGACGACTTAATCATATGACAAACCACGGAGTCGGTCCATGTCGTGTATGGGATTAGTTGCCAGTTATGAGTTTCAGCTGCATAGACTTGATGGTGGAGGAAGCCTTAACTGACCAGTGGTCAATTAAATATACCACCCTACGACGGCGCATTCGAACCTGCAATCCCACACAGGGTAATCAGATTTGCGATGGTAAGCAAGCGTTTTCATAACGTTTATCACGATGGGCAACACTGCTGGCCTGTATTTACTATGTTCATGTGTAGCCAAGTGACCATTGTGTTCCCTAAATTACTAAATATGAAAGTACGATATATAGTGCTGACTTTTATTTGCTCTCCCACAATGGGGACATTTAATACGTCTTTTTATGATCAGGCTTAACTCGTTCTTGCTCGAGATTCCTTTTCTAAGATCAGGGATTTGTTCAAAATGAATTGTTTTTAAACAATTGTTTTAAATCAAGTTTTTTTTGTCTGTTTCGTTTAAAATGGCTGTATTATTTGATTTTTTTGTATTGAATGGGTCAAAACTAAAACTAGTAAAATGGATGTAAAAACTTGCCAATTGCTTCTTATTCTCAATAAATCCTTCGAAACGCCACAAATATCGATGATTTGCTCATATTCGCCATATCAAGCTGTAACGCAATGCGTCCACACATCAGTTGGCGGAGGAAGACGTAAACGATAGGTCATTACGTGAACCACCCTGCGATAGTTAGGAGTCCTGCCATCCTTTTTCACCTTGTCGCATCACTCATGGGATTCGAACCAGCGCCTAGTATACCTTTAGACCAGGGGTCACCAACGCGTTGCCCGCGGGCACCAAGTCGCCCGCGAAGACCATATGAGTCGCCCGCAGGTCTGTTCCAAACTAAGCTACGGCTCTTATAAGTAAGCTACATCAATTAAATTTTGTCCTGCTATTCTAGTATAAATCACACTTATATGGGAACTTGAAATAGACAATATATTAATATTTGTAACCATCAACCTTATTTTTGTTTGACCTCAGTAATGTGACGGGTCAATTTAAACTCTTCCAATTATGACATCACACCGATATCACTTTCCACGAACCCGCACTTTTTCTTGTCCGTTGGTTTGTGGAGCAGCAATAATACAATTATTGATTCCAAAGAAAAATGGCAGAAAAGCGATGAAAATCCAATCATTTTCACATGAAATCATTTTTACCACCATGAAAAAAGCCTGCGTGTGTCTCATTAGTGGGGCGATCGTAGCGACGACAAAGCGGAGAGATATTTCACATCTTGTCACGCAATCTATCCACTGGTCAGCGCAGTACGGACAGAAAAAGCTCGCGATTCAAATCATACAGCAATCCTATTTTACGAGACCATTGTTTGGTTCAACCTATCTTTGTGAATTAACATTTTTAACATAAACTCAGGATAGGATTTACATATTTATCCCGGGGAGAAGATAGCCGATAAGACGGCTTAACCCTATGACGACCACGGCCTCTCGCCCAGTTACCAGTCCATGTCGGGTATGAGATTAGTTAGGTATTTGTTTGCGGATGCATGGACTTGATGGCGAATGAAGCCGTAACCGGCCAGCAGTTACGTGAACCACCCTACGGCGGCGAGGAGTCCAGCAATTCTTTTCTTTAGTATATAAATATTCCCGCATGGGATTCTAACCTGCGAGCCTAACGCTTAACACGATGGGCCACAGCGCTGCGACTAACTCCACCAGGAACAAACACGGAACATGCCTCACTGATGAAAATCTGCAAGACTTGCTCAGAGTTACAGTGTCAACTTACACGTCGGAGTATGATACTCTGCAACATTTGATGGTATAACTGTTAAGTAGGCCTACAGTTTATCTTAAACTTGCGCAGAGTGCTGAAAATCAATTTGAAAACACTCAGTTTTAAAATGCAAGCGTCATTGATAAAAATTTGTACGCTACGTTGTGATAATCGTTTGATACCCTGAAGAATCCTAAAGTTCATTAGTGTCTCTACTTCACTAAATACCAGTACTTATACTAATAATTGAAGCTTAATCGGGAAACTGACTTTTTTAGAAGTGTACATTGAACTGGTAGCCCGCAGCTTAATCTGTACCCAGAAAGTAGCCCTCGGCCTCGAAAAAGTTGGTGACCCCTGCTTTAGACAAAGTAGCTAAAGCCTAGGGCCTCAAACCTCGAGAGCCTTCATAAGCAACTTTTAATTTTTCTAAACTGTTAAGGCTCATTCCAGAATAATATCAAATTAAAGCCGAATAACTGAATTTCTATAACTTTGAGCTCTATCCATTTAACTTTAAAAACAAAGTACGGTGATTTAAATTAACTGAAAAGATTTTACCGTAATAAAGCCTTTATTTTAGGGGAAAATTTTAGTAAGCCCTGATATCTCGGATAAACATCCTTGTTAATATATTATGACCTTGGTGTAGGTACTAACTCAGCGATAAAGTTACGCGATTAAAGTTAAAGGCAAAGCAAGAATTTTTTATTATATTTTCGAAATTATTCTTCCGTAAACGTGAGCAGCTGCCAGACGCAAGATTTTGGCATAGTTTCACGGCGGTACAAGATGTATTTCGATAAAAAAAATACAAAAGATACAGAAAAAAACAAGCCCTTGTTTTAAAACAAACTGTTTTTTCAGAATTGATAAAAAACAAAACCATATCTAGATGCAGAATTATAGAATTTTTTAACGCTTTATAATAATAAATATTTTTACTGTGAACTTATTTCATTTGGTACGAACATGGCGGGAGCTGACTCTAATGACCGCTTGGAACGTTATTTCTTTACTAATTTAATGTTATTACTTATCGATTTTAATCGGTAAGTATGTTGATAGGTATTTGCCTGTCTGTCTGTTAGATGCACGCGATATCTCACGAAAACGAGATTGAATCTGCTCCAGATTTTGCATGTGCATTCATCTTATCTCGGACCAGAAGCCTATTGATTTTTGATGAATTATGTCGTATAATTAGCGAGTTATTAATTAATTAGTGATGAAACACAAGGTGTCACTACGGAGTAAGAGCGCTGTTTTGTTCCCCTAACTTTCGATCGATAAGTCTTCGGTCTCTGACCGATATTCTCGTTATTATTATCATAATGTTTATGTTTTTTTCTGGTTAAAAAATTATAAATCTTTTTCTAATTACGTTTATTACGCTATTCTGAGGGAATTATTCGAATTTTTTCATATTCAGGATATCCAAAATCACAAAGAAGGGTTTTCAAAACCTTACATATATTTAGATCACTCTTGTGAAACGTCATCGCTATGTGTACAACTCCAAATTTTGTAATCTATCGCCCGACTATCACTAATGTCATCGACCACCAGTGTAATGAGTAGCTGACACAGCCGGCGAAGCTGAATAGCAGCGCGCTTGGCTAGTCCAATGAGAATATATTACATTCTCATCGGCTAGTCTAGCTTTCTATCTGTTTGGTCGGATTCTAATAATATAGGCATCAGAGAAAACTAATATTCCAATGACGAATCTATCGGCCTAGGTTGGCTATGCTTACTGATAAACAAGAGAGCTACGCCCGAATATATGGACACGTCTGTTCGCAGTACAGTACGGTTTACCGTACAGCAGATCACAGTCTACAAATATATT